AACACATTCTTGTATTTAACAGATTTTTTCTGGCCACTTGGAGGCAGCATAAACAAGCACTTAACACAATATTGACATATAATCACCTTAAACAGAAAACACATTAGCAACACTTACAGACACATTGTACTGATAAGTTAGGGGGAAATATTAGAATTCATTGGTAATCGTGTTAGTTTCCAACTGATTTTAGGTCTGACATGTCGTTATCTCCAATTTGCCTTCAGTACGCTTACATTTTTTAACTTTTGCAGCACATTTTTGACAGACTGCATGCACTTTATTTAATAAGAGATCTAGCTAACAGACAATTTCATTAATCAGTTGCTAGAGTGTGTTAGATACTAGCTAGTCATTGATGATAAATAACAAATGAGTGGGGTTTATGTCTTAAGGTGTACACGCATGACTGAATACATGCATGTTTTGTGATTGGTTGTACGTGCCAGGACTAATTTGTGTCCATGCCCTGTCCCGGTTACAGAGGTAAAGAGCATGCCTTTGAGAGAGTCAACCCCCCTCCCCACTCCCTCCTGCTCCCAGATCTTGGCTCTAAGTGGGGTCGCGGTGGAGGTAGCGTAGTGATGCTTTTCATTAGCTAAGTGCAACTGGGGGAGAGGAGCGCAGGGCCTTGATTTACTGTGCCTGCTGTCTATAAGCCCGGACACACACACACACACACAAACACACTCTCACAAAAACACCTACTCTCCTCTTCCTCCGTCCTCTGCTCTTAGACCACTCACTCTTTCCCTTTATCCCCTCTTTTTCTCTCCATCTACATCCATTTTCCTTCCCATCTCTGTCTTTCCGTTTCCATTTTCTCTCCGCGACGTCTCCTGGGATTGTCCTCCTAACACGACACAGAGGACAGGGCTTGTGTTTTTTCAGTTGTTGGTGTTGGATGTCTTTAGGATGGCTCTCTAGTCGAAAACACAGCTGCCATTTAAGATTTACACTCTCAAAAATGACTCCATCATTGTGAATTGACCAAAATTGGAACTTTAAAATATAAAATAGTGATCGTTTTACAAATATTTCAGCATGGAGATTTGGTTTTCTTCATGACCGTCCTGAGTCTGTTGGTTTTCTTGATTTTTGGCGACACCCTTGGTGACAAATGGCCATGGCGTTGGAGTTTAAACTTCTACATACCATTCAAGAAAATCTCACAATGGCAGTAGATTGTCTTTGGAACACATATACATGTTTGGAGCATCAAGAAACATCTAAAATATGTATACCGTGCTATTTTGTAAGTGATGTCAACTTTTTGGGAAAGTTAAAAAGATACTTGTTCCTGAATGTTCCTTTCCTGGCAAAACGTTGTTTTTTCTTTGATATGATCATCAGGAAGCAAGTTGCTTCGTACCGGATAATAAAATCTGTCATGGATGGTTAAGAAACTCATGGCATCCATTAGGGAAGTGGCTTTCTGATTACAGGCCTAATTGTGAGCTTTCGTAACATATTTTACTAAAAGTTTTAAGAAGTGGGACCCGGTGTGTGTGAGCCTGTGAAACTCTGAGGGTCATTTCCACTCAAACTAAGTATGATCCCTGTTATACTCGTGTTTGATTACTCGCCATTTAAGCTGCTGGGGCCCTTTTCCCTCTCTTTCTGAATCCCAGATGCTACATGGCAGCCATCCAGCAACCACGTGCAGTGGCGAGACTCAACGTTGGCATGTGTGTGCAAACTTGTGTTTTTCTGTCCTTTTTTGAAAAACTCCTACCTCATCCATCATAGTTTGACAGGACACATTGACCCCAGTTGCCGTGGCAGCCAGGTAACCATGGCTCCTGCCTGTGACACAGCTGGTGGTGTCTGATTGGTTTAGCCAGCGGCTTTCTGCCAGGTCATCTTTAACATCAGGGCTGGAGAGTGGCACCAAGGTGCTTCAACTGCTATTTATAAACCTAGACGGGCACACTGCAAAATATGCCCATCTTAGTTGTTTTTGATTAGGTTTATCAGAAGTCTTTATTTGACCCACAGCGGGAAGTTTAAATTGTTACAGTAAATAGAATTGTGGAATCTGAATGGAACTGTCATTGACTAACATTTCTTGTATCAAGACTCCCGATGAGGTTTCATTCAAAGCAGTGTATTGTCAGGTCATGTGAGTGGGTTACAGTTTCACAAAATGACATGTATCTGTTGTATTTATTTTCATTGGCATTGTTATACTACCCTTTGTTTTCCTTTCTCGCATCGTCTTCTTTAGTTGGTCCATCTCAGCAGTTCTTCAATAATCACGATGGGTATCACTCAGCTCAGATTACTTCCCTTCCCTCTAATGAAAGTGTCTGCGGTCCGTCTGTATTTAAATCTGAGCTGCTGTTCAGTATATCTACCAACTTGTGAAATAAGAATGTCTTTAATGAGTTGGATTACATACTGGTTCCACGTTTTTTTTAATCAGCGTATTGTTTTTTGAACGCTACCTGTTGAAACACGCTGCGTCCGGCTCTGTGCAACCAAGGTCAGCCATGATTCCTCTGTGGAGCTTCTAGCGAGTGGGTCACAGTGTGACAAAAGCCATTAAGATGTAGGGAGATAGGGAGGCGAAAACGCTGAGAAATACACTTTTGTAATAGCTTTGAGCCAAATTGACTGCGGCAGATGGAGAGAAAAAAAAAAAAAAAGTCCGGAGAGCATCGGAGAGAAAATGAGCTCAAAGACAAAGAAGCAAAGGATTACAATCCTCTGTCCTGCTTTCATCAGTGTGCCTCATATCACCTGCAGTCCTTTGTACTTGGAGTAGTTCTGGTTGTAGCAGTAGTGGTAGTAGTGGTTAGAATTAGTTATGCTAGCAGAGATGGTTTTAATTTAGTGTACCTGGAATTAACATTAAAAAAAGATACACGTGATATTCCTCCGAATCTACAAGGAAGAGTAGCTCGTGTGCACAAAAACTCAACACATCATGAATGACCGATTGGTGGAATGCAATGCTGACAACTGTTCCACTGATTATGGGATGGGTTTGCCCAATTTTAGAAAGCTTTGAGGGAAGATTGTGCTATAAGCTGATTGGTTGGTCCAACTTTCATTGCTGAAAATTGGCGTAGTTGGAAGAAAATGGTCTTGTTGACATTGGGGTTTGATTAATTTAATATTAAAGTAGATCCTATTCACTTTGGTTTATTTGGGAATCGATTTACAAGAATCCTTTCAAAATGTAGCCGCGGATAACACAAAAAACGACCAATCCCTCTCAGATGATTCACGGGATTGTTTACACGTGAGTTCATGAAGAGACTCTTTCAAGGTGATAGTTGGAACAAGGTGTCTTTTAAAATACTGCTTTCAATAAAGTTTACAGTCCAGCAGAGCCCAGCCTGGACTGGCCCAGCTGCACAAATACACAGAGGAAATGACATCATCATTATGACTCACCAAGGGGGTTGTTCAAACAGAGGGATTGTTCAAAAAGAGATCAGTAGTAAAGTGGTGGAAGGTGAGAAACAAGGGGTGAGCGAAATAAGCAGCTTTCAATAGCTGCATACTTTTTCTGAAATAGTGTCAAACTAGCTTTGATTAAAATAATATATATTACTTAAAACATGCGTAATCTGCATTGCGTCACTTGGGCCCCAAACTGTGAAAAAATGACTGAAAAGGTCCTAAAAAAACTCTCTTTTTGTCAAAAAAATGTTAAGCTCTGTGTCAGGTTGAGCTGCTTAAAAGTTAAAGCACCATCAAAGGGAAATTCTAGTGACCCAGTTACAGTCTTCTTGGCTGAGTTATCCTCCTGGTTCAAATCAGCATTGAGTAATGCGCAGCTGTTTGGAAGGACAGTTTTGTTTTAATGATGCTTTGAAAGTGTTGGGAATGTCACGAATACATCGTAAACAAGTCCTGGAATTCATTTTGCAGAGGTCTCTAGGGTTCCTTTTTAAATGTTCTGTTAGCCCCACCTCACATGAACACATCAACCCCACCTTCATCACGGTCATTTGAATATCATTGCTTTTAGGTATACAGAAAATGCTGAGCACTTTTTATTCCTCTCTGCTCTGCTCAGTTTTTGGTGCAGTTTCTAGAGCTTCTGTGTCCTCAGGCAGGAAATATTCCAACACACACACACACACACACACACACACACACACACACACACACACACACACACACACACACACACACACACACACACACACACATGCATACAGTACAGTATGAACACACACACCCAGGCGTACATCATTCCTAGAGTTTTTTGAGGTTGTTGGCTGCTGTGAGGCTTCTTTCTTCCCCCCTCTCTCCTCTTCATCATTAATTAGTCATTTAATTAAAAACTTCAAAGTGAAAGCATCCTCTGCTGGTGGGCGGGCTATGTCAGTGTGTGTCGTGTGTGTGCAGGTCCATGCAACATTGTGACACAAAATCATCTCAGCTATGAAAGTGTGTCTTTTTTGATCAAATAAACAACAAAACTGTATTGGTAGAAACACCTATCATTATTTTAAAATGTGACCTTTACTGTATAATGTTGCATTTTTGGTTTAAAAAAGGCCAGAAAGATTTATTTAGACATTTCAACATGATTGAAATAAACAAGTATCACCTATTTGATCAGTCTATTCATCATTTGTTATTTAAAATGTGAGAAAATATTGAAACATTTACAAAAAAAAGTTGCTCAGATCTCTAACTGTTGTACTGTAATATTTGTAAATTATCAGTATGTATCAGTATTTTACCCTGGAGAAAGTACTATAATCAATATTATTATCAATGAATCCAACTTGTTCTAAAGCTTTTTAGGAAAATTAAGCATTTGTCTCACATAGAAATAAATATATACAAATTTAAAGGCACAAGTAAAACCAGTTCACCGAAGCCATCAAAGCCTGAGATCTAACCCCCAAAATGCAGCAGCCGTAGACCAATATATCATAGCTGAATCCCAAATGTATTGCTATTGGCCGAGGACCTGCTGGCAGCCGTTCAACCGACTCCCTCCTGATCTCTCTTCCTTCCTCTTCCTCCCACAGCCTGACGAGCTGGAGGGCGTCCACACACACACCTTCAAGCTGAAGCCGTTCAAGAAGGTCGTGAGTTGTGATATATGCAAGCAGGCCATCACCAAGGAGGGCTTCATCTGCAAAGGTGAGTTTCAATCAAACTCTGATTCCTGTTGAGGAGGGCTTGGGTGTTGTCCCAGCATGCATTGGGGAAAAACACAACAATTCCAAACCAATGGGGATACAATAAAGTAGGGATGCATAAGGGTATGGAAACATATTGGCAGATAAGGTAGTAACATTAAATATCGGCATTGGCCATTAATAAACATTTCATTCTATATAACCATAAGACATGTGCAAATTAGTCTCATCTCTAAGAGGTTGACCAGTCAAAACAGAGCCGGCCAGCTGACCAATCAGAGCACACTGGACTCTGGTTTCAGACAGAGGGTGAAAAGAGGTTTTGCAGCACAGGCAGTATGAGAGAAATAAAGAGCTTTTTGAACATTAAAGCATAGAAACAGTAGAGACACAAAATACATATGAATCTGTTAATACGCAGAATAAGGCCCCTTTAAACTTATTTTACACATTTGTATGAACTGATTTGATCATATTAGAATATAAAAGGTCAGAAAATGCATCATATTTCTTGAAACTGAAAAGCTAGTTTTATTCAAAGTCCCAAAGTCTAAATACATTCAGTCCTCAGTGATGTAAAATGTGTTTGGCAGCCGTATTCTACATCTGTCTCTCAGTCTCCATCTCCTTTGTTTTACCTTTCTATTCCAACGTGTGCACACAGTCTGCATGTTTGCATGTGTCTGCTGTTTTTACCATCGGTGTCTCTCCCATCTTCCTCCCTGCCCTTTAAGCCCCGTCTTCCTCCACTATCCACTCGCACGATTTTGGTTCTAATTTTAGAAGAACTGAAGGTTTTATTATCACACCAAGAAAAAGTCCAGGGGAAATTAACGTGAAAGGACTCCCGGACAGCCTCAAATGTTCTTTCTTGTCTCCCTCCTTCCATCCATCCATCTCTCTCGCACACTCTCCCTCTTTCCCTTTTGAAGTACAAACACTGCGTCTTTAGCAGGAGCCGAGTGGAAGCCCGGTGGTAGCAGAGCGGGCCTGTATAGGGCTTTGGCTGAGGATTTGCTGTTAAAATTAGCATGGCTGCTGCTGCTGCATTAGCCTAGATAAGAGGGAAAAAAGGGAAAGAGGGGTAAGTGGTGGGGGGGGGTGGGGTAGAGCGAAGCAGGATAAAGACAGAGAAATTGGGGTATAGGGGGATTGGGAGATAGGCATGCAAAACAAAGGGAAAAGAGAGCAAAGGGGAGCACGGGAGAATTACTCCCCCTTTCATCCCCCTTTTGTTCAATCATCCCCTATGTTAAAATACAGTAAGCTTCCCTTGCCAAATGCTAAAGCTTAAAGTCATCCAGCTGAAAGCTCAAAACGGCCCCCAGGAGCAGCTTCATGTGCGCAAACGCGGTTTAATCAGCGAAGAAGTGCTATTAAATGTGAGCGTTTTACAGCACTGTATGTGTACTACACATTGGACATCCTCCCTGCCCTTTACAGATACCAGGAAGTGTTGCTAGGCGCCCCAGTGAAAAGGCCACATTGCTAGAGGGCTTGTGGACAAAGAGATCAAATGTGTCATTGACATCCAGATGTGTTGCGGATGTACACAGTCTTAAGTGACTGAGGTTGTTTTGTCACCTGCACGCTCTTCGCATACTGTTATAACCTGCGACCAGTTGCCAGGCAACCATAGGCAAGTAAGGGGAAGATACATTTGTTTTAAAACTAGTGTTTTCATACAGATTTAATCATTTCTCAGCCTTTTGCTTTATTAAAACATGCTCCAGAATCATTACTAAGCTATGATTTCACCTGCATGACCAGCGATGACAACTCAATGAAATATGAGTCAGTAATAAGTAGATAATTAGATGGACAAATATTCACTTAACTCTCCAAATAATTACCAATCAGCTGCACACACACACAATGACCAAGTGCTCCATTTATCACCATTACACATGGCTTGCATAAATGAACCAGTGTTTTTCTAGCTTCTCTCTGTGAGGCCACCCGGAACATTCCTGCACCAACACCGTCGTCACTTCTGCTCACACATGTAAAAACACCCACACCACCTGGGGACCACCTACAGAGCAGGTGTGGGGGGTCAACCGTCCTACCTGTACACACTCAGAAACATGGCCTTTTCACACCTAGAGGTCCATCCTTTCACTGTTTCTCAATATGTATTAAAACTCCTACTTTAACTGGGAATAATCCAGTCGTTTCATATTATTTGACCATGTTACACTTCTTTCTAAAGGGTCATAATAAGATAAAACAAACAAATGTATGGATGTATGTTTGCTTTCTGTGGCCACTTGGGGGCAGCACCACAGCATGTTAGTCAGGATGGAGCTGACCTTGTTTCCTTTGCAGCACATTCGGCAATACACACAGCTGAGTAAAAAGACAGAATACGTTAAATTCTCAACTGCAATTGACAATCAGTGACTTCTAAAAAGTGACTCTCTTAAATGGACTCTCAGGTAGAGACTGTGTTTCTTTGTCTTTTCCTCCAGGTGTGCTCTTCTCTGCTAACCCAACTTTGTCTCTTCTCTTCCAGTGTGCAAGTTGTCCCTTCATAGAAAATGTGAATCTAAGGTAAGACAATAATCTTTTACTCCTTATTATGACTGAGTATATACTTACACGTGACCTTGGTCATTGTTTTTCCTTTTTAGTTTCTCTTTATAATGTTAAAAGATAGTTTAAAGCAGCTCTATCTATAGTTCTTAACGTTAATATTTCTCTCTTGAAACAATCGATATATGATCACTGATCTTAAACTATGACTTATAACAGATTATGATCTTCACGTTCCCTCCTTTAATTTGACACGTCTATCAGCATCTGCTTCCAAGCCATTAAAAAAAAGTGCTTAAACATGAGACGTGAGGCACTGCTAGTGAACAACAAGGGGTATTCTTTTATTAGTTTTATTCTAAAGAATACTTTTTTCATGACAATATCCACCAATGAGGCCAGATTACAGATACAGAGAATTCCAACCAAAAGAATACAGCTTTATTTAGCTAAATTAAAACGTATATTTACAACATGGTCTTGTTTTCTACCAGTAACTCCAACCCATGCATTTGCGGCAACCAATACATTTGAAATGTGCAATCTAACATTTGTTTGCAAAGGAACATTTTTGTTATTCTAAACTACAGTATATTTAAAGAAAACAAATGTCTTCACTGCACAAGACCAACATTTAATCCCAATCTTCAGTGGAAAGGGGAAGAATGCATGAGGAGAGGAAAGGAAGGAAGGAAGGGAGGAATGATGGAGAGGAGGCAGGGAAAGGGCGGGGGGTCAGAGCGTAACAAGGTTATTCTTAGTGGTTTTAGTTGGGACTTGTGTGGAGAAACGTCACACCCTTCTCTCTACTCTTTTCCCCTCCTCCCCAGCCTGCCCCGATTCTTACCTCCTTCCCAAAAACATCACCAAAAACCATCCCTCTACCCAAATATTACTGTAGGAACAAAAACTGCGTAGAAGAAAAACCCCAAATACCTCTAAAACCAGGCAAAGCCATTTGTGGTGGCAATTGGGGGAATAATCAGGATAACCAGAGTCATGAGTCATTCATTCTGGTGGTGACAGACATTGGATGCTTTGTGTCTGGGAAGAGAAGAAATTATGAGGATTGAAATTGTGTTTAATTTGGTTAAAAAGTTACAGCTTTGGCACCATTTCCCTAATCCTTATTTGCTAATGTGCTAATCCCTAAATTGGTTTCAACATTTGTGTTGGCGCCTTTCGAGTGAAATTACCCTCGATAAACAGGAAACAGTATGGCTCATTGTTTCAGGCCGTAAAAGTTCAGAAAAATGAAAGTCTGTGGATTTAGGCAGAGCGAGATGCTTTTCTTCAGCCGGCTCCACGCTGACCTTGAACCGTAAATTTGTCATGAAGCACAATGAAGTCGTCGCCAGTGGTTCGCAGTTCTGTAGACGTGAAACCGCTGCTTCCCTTTTTATGCTTTTATAGCAACCGGGACATTAAAAGACAGTTGTTCCAAAGCTTTAACGGTAGTGTTATCACTTTTTATGCAGCATCTCTGTGTTTTTACGGCATTTTAATGGGGCCTACTCGAACTTTAATGAGTGTGTGATCAACGTAAATGTTCTTAACATATGATGAGAGACACATATGTGTAATTTATTTATACAAAGCGTCTACACTATACGGTTTTTCCTTGCAATTTGTTATATTATTGCTATTAGGAATGGACAAAAGAATAGTTTTTCTAATGATTATGTAACATCTGATCGATCGATTTTTGCTTTGTTTACCTCAGTATTAGTTTACATTCTTTAATGACTTTATTGCACTCAATGTCTTTAAGTTACTAAATTCTGACAAAATAACTCGAATAAAAGACATTTAGTTCATACAAGTGTATTAAATAGCATGTAGAAAACCAACATTTCATACAATTAATGTATGAAATGCAAACAAATAATGACAAAATGTTAGTATTTTTTGGCATGAATAACATTTATTTGGAGCGCTTAGTGGCATTTACTGACTAGAGACATTGCAATAACATACATGCCTGAATTAAAGTAGAGAAATCTCATTAGAAATCTCTGTAATTGCCATAATGAGAATCACTGCATATCACCCTGCTATATATTGTAATAGTATAACTACTTCTTCAAGTACTTAAAAACATCACTGTCTTGCGGCTTTGTGCTCCAAAGGGATAACATGGAAAGTAAGATTGTTGAGAAGATATACAGTGACATTCACTCCTCTAAACAATCTGACTTATTGCATCTTTATAAGTCAATAAAACATTTCCCCTTCGTCCCTGTAATCTTGTTGTCAGTGGAACGATTACTGATGTGTATCGGTATAAGTATGTTTCCCTTCTGCTCCGGTAATCTGTCACCGCATGCGGGCTCGATCATTCATTTCTAAAGCTTATGAAAATGTCTTTGCGGGACATCCAAAAGACAGATGTGTCCACTGATGTGTCCTGATGAAGAACGGCTATAGTCTTTGGCTACCATTCAGTTTCTGTTTTCCTTTCTGTACAACCACAAACGTCTTTGAGTGAACCACTGTTTTTCCCAGTCCTGAGAGCGTTCTAGCTTGGCGACAAATGGGTTATCACGCCAGATTCTATTGGAGACGGACTTGAGGGGTTGTGGCTGGAAATCTGGCTGGTTGAAGGCAGATGCTCAAGACTTTCAAAAAATGTAAAAAATGTTTGCCTAGGAGTGCTTTTCTGGACTCAAATGCAGTGTGTAGTGGTGAATTCCTGCTAAAAGACGTCTTTGTTTGGAAGTAATCCCTTAAAATTGAGGCTGTAATTAGTGTTTACTTTCGATTTTTCTGAACAACATCTTGTCTGAGAACTTCCTCAATGGCAGAAACCAATCAGAATCCAGTTGTGGACAGTATGGATCACTGTTGGAACTTCAGATCAGCATACTTGACTAGATTCAGGGTTTACTTTTGGCAATTTGCACACAGATCCGCGTGTGTGCAAGTGATCATGTCTACTTGTGTTGACTGGATAGCGCAGCTTGTGATTTATCCCTGCCATGTCTTGGAGGAGCCTCTTGGAATGCCGCTGCAGTGGTTTCTGCTGTTCTTTGGGGCTGGCGGGTTGGAACACACCAGGGAGGTTTGGCAAGGGCGAGGCAGGGCCGAAGAGGAATGGTGGGGTTGGACAAAACAAGCTAGAGAAGAAGTTTTGAATATTCCTCTTGTAAACAACTCTGCTGGAAGGTGCTTTTGTCGTTCCTTGGCTACATTTTAGAGAATCCTGTTTACACCTATATATACAGTCTATGGTTTACACGTTTGTGTCTTAAGTACAATGTGGTTCTGTCTGACATGCCATATCTTTTCATGCTGCAATTCTACCTCAGCCGCAAGACAAATTGGCTTGGAAAACGCTCTGTAGTTGTGTTGCGCTTGATAGATGCGTGGAAATTTGACAATGTTGTTTGGGTTTTTCTATTTTGTCTAGCTTTGTCTTGCACTAGGTTCAGGTTTTCTGGATTAAAGTATTGAGAAACATCGGAGGCTAGGTGGGTTGTGAAAAGACAGATGAGAAGATGACTTGCTGACTACCCAGAATTTAAAAACTACTAGAAAAAGGTGCGAAAAGTATGTGTAAATGTACAATTAAAGGCAATCGTAAAACAGAAAGAGGCAATGGAAACAACAGTTTACTTCTAGTCTAATAAAAACATTAAAAGTCAGCTGGGAAAACTTAAACCAGGCAATGCATTTCTGACATTTACCCAGGTTCTCCCGAGGCCCTGGGGATCATTTGTATCTGCATCCATCCTCCCGCAGCACTCAGTGTTTTCAACACGTTTCTGTTCATCAGGCAATTCAAAAAATCTCACGACTTGTTTACTTATCGCTGCAGTCAGCTGGAGCCGAACAAAGTGCCCCTCGTAATCAGGCTTTTCCACTTCCTGTGGTTGTAGATGTTTACAGATCTTGGAGCAGCACTAGGGGTGAAACAGTCGGACCAGGAAGTGAGTCACGGACGCAGACCAAGAATAAAATGACAGAGGGCATGAGACACATTTCAAACCAAAGGAGCGTGTTCCTGTTGACCTGGTTATACTTCAGTCTGTCAGGTGGAGAGCAGTTTCTTCTGTGAGGGGTTCACACCTCAACTCTTATGCATTGTTCATAGCAATCTTTAAAAGTCATTAGTTAGTGGAAAGGCTAGGAAGTTGGTTTTTTAACATCATTATTATCTTTAAATATAAAAAAAGGTGTCTTTTTTGTAATTAAATCTCTTCAATGAATAACTAATACGGTGTGCTGTTAAATAATCGGAAAAGAAAGTTCTTAATACTTAAATTAACTGTTTTTTCTTGAGGTGAGAAATGCACTTTGGCCTCCCAGTCACATGCTGAATTTCTAATTTTTAGTTGATTCAATAGTTCCTTTGTCATGCAAAAAGTCAATCCAGAGGATATCATTGCAGCGAGGAGACTCAGACATCCCGTTCCATCTCGACTAGCCCAAAATCCCCCTCTGTCAAGCTGAGCTCGCTCGCAGCTTACATCACACAAGCAGTGATGTGCTAGAACCGGCTAAGCATTTTAGAAGAGGGAGAGTCTTCACCTGCAACAGCAGACTTTCACTGTCACAAAGTCAGTCAAATCATGCACATTCCAAACTCCACTGAGCCTGACTCCAGCTAAGCCAGTGCAGAATTTAAAGGGTCAAGTGTTTTGAGGTCTGGCTGTTTAATCCTAGCATCCTTACATTTAAATCCACATCCGAACATGTGTGAAAACTGGGAGAAGCCTTTAATTAGAGCTCAGGCAAATTACATGCTCTATAAAGTGCAACCCAGGAGCTCTTTAATATTTCAGGAGGCACGAGTATAACCCCGTTTTACCACTTACTGTATAACTTGCGACTATTTATGTACTAGGCATGTGTGTTTTTGCGGATATCAAACATTTGTATTGATTGCTAGAAACCATAGACTGTATTAAGGAGTAGACGTAGTCGCAGTGAAGTCACCCATTGGTTTGTGGACTGTTGGATTGAAGCCTTCAGATTGTTTTTTTTATTTATTGTTCATTTAGTGAAGCAAGACATGA